ACATATTTTATTATAAAACTATTTTTATTTTTATGTACATTAATATTTTTATCGGCTTATAATTCATTTGTATCTACAAATTCAAAAAAAAAAAAAAAAAATCCTGTTCGAATTGCCGTACGAAAATTATAACAGTAGAATATCTATTGAAATTTCTTTGGAATTTTATTGAACTTGTCCAACAAAAATTATAACACTGAAATTATAATTGAGATTCTATTTGGAACATATTTTCATTAGAATTTATTATTTTTATTTTTATTAATGATCCATTCTTCATGTGCGGACAAAAAAAATAAAAATTGCAATAGATTTGATTATTAACTAAATTCAATTGCAAAATACTAACTTCAAACTATTTTAGGTACTTTTTTCATCAACCTATTGAAGCGATCAGGTTACATAATTATCGTATCCTATGTTATATCACCCAATTTAATCCAAGAATGATAACTAATAATCTAACTTTAAATAGGATAAATATGATTAACAATATAGAATTCCAAAGTTGCAACCATTTATTTGTATTTGGGAAACAATAATAGTTCCACACACTAACATTTGCTAGCTTGGAGAAAGCACCTTTAAATTACTGTGAAGGGATCATAGCCCATACAGATGCTTTCATTCATTCTTTTTTTCCTTTTTATCAGTTCTTTTTTATTTTTATTTTTTGTTCTTTTTTAGGCCCTCTCATATGTATTGTCTTACATCTTTATTAGTGTATTCTTTAATTGAGATATTATTTGCTTTAATGCAACATTGGCTTTTCCAAATCAAGGAAAGGCATGTGGGTTGTGCATGGCCCTCACTTTTTATTATAAGCCAATTATCTAATCTTTTGGAAAAAGCATATGAAGAAAAAAGCAATACCACTGTTCTTCCCACATAGTATCAGATAGCGACCCTTCATTTGTGGGGATTCTACATAAAATTACAAAGCAAATAATAATAATAATAATAATAATAATAATAATAATAATAATAATAATAATAATAATAATAATAAAACTTAATCATTTAGAAAATTTAGTAACAATAGGTAGTGGTAATAAGAATATAAATACTAATAATAATAATAATAGTATTTAAGATGAATCTAAACAAAGATTCAGCATATAATTTGAATATGCTTCCATCGTAAAAGCTTAGGGACTAAGCTTTTCTCTACTTTTGAACCATATTGTTAGTTTATTTTTATTTTTATTTTTTAATGAAAAAGTGCAGGTGAGTTGTATACTGTACGTCATGATATGTCGAAACAAGTTGTGTATAATGTAATCTAACTCGTATATGTAGTTTTCCACCAATAATGTGTTGCAGTGCCAAATTATATGGACTAAGATAAAGTTTATTAATTTATTTATGTGCGCATTAGTGTTGGCNTTCGCGTTGTGGAATTAATTTTTTATTATTTTATGTTGTAATTGTGTATATGCATTTTTTCGTGTGGGGGTGAATTATGGATAGTAGGAAGATTACATGAACTCGAAACAATAAGAGAAAACTATATCTCAACCGAAACTCGATGGTATTTTTCAAAAAAAAATCTTGAAAATGTAATAATAGTAAAAATGTAATATTAGTAATAACTTTGTTCATTTGCTTATCTTGCATTTAAGCTGTTACTGCAATAATCTATACGTCAGTTCAAGCTGTTACTGCAATAATATTATAAGGGCTTAATATATAATATGTAATGTGCCAGCTTGAGGCCATAAGTATGATTCCTTGGCACTTCACAATTTGGATGATTCCTTGGCACTTCACAATTTGGATAACTTGAGGCCAGCATTTCAAAACTCCAGTTTACTTAATAATTTCTCTCTCAAAATTTTGAATTTTCAAAGAGTTGTGTTAAAAGAGAACAAATGGATTGATCTATGTTCGAAAAAAACACTAATGATACCATTAGGTTAATACCTTCTCACCCAATATATAAATTTATATTATTAAATATCATAATTTTGTTAATTGTATGACGTTTCAATAAGAAAGTACAAAGGTACGTCAAAAAGTAAAACTTCGAAAAAATAAAACTATAATGGTTGTATTTAGTAAACCTAATTGATAAGCTAGCTTATAACTTTTAAGTGAATTTAGAGTTTATAGCTGATAGCTTATGATTTATGGCTGAAAAACTAACTTATATGATTATAGTGTTTGATAAAATTAGCTGATAAGCTAGCTGAAATAAAAATTTCAATGAATTTATTTGAAAAGCTACCAAACCAAACTTATTTGAATACAAAAAACGTATAAGCTAATCAAATAAGTTATAAACTAGCTCACACATCCAATGTGAGTTAGATCCAGAAACTTGCCCTATATGCATGCTATATTAATGGGATTCAATTGAAANAAAAAAAAAAAAAAAGTATTTATAAAGAGAAAAATAAATGAACACAAATGTAAACATCTCCCTCTAGCTTAATTGAAAGAATAGAAAGTACTTTCTCAAGAGAACAATGAATGAACACAAATGTAAACATCACCCTTTAGCTTCAGTGGAAATTGAACCCGCCTCCAATATTTTTCCCACAATATATAACATGTCCAAAGCCAATCCAATATTTAATTTTGTTTTTCAATTCAGATTTCACTCAGTAAATCTATCTCTACCAAAGACAGTGCTTCTGTACAAAATTAAGAATATCTACAAATTTCGTTGATCGTTTTATCTGTACAGCGTATCGGTGAACTAATCTTAACTGTATTTACGAGCATTGTGTGTACAAATAGGTCCAGAAACTCGTCCAGAACTTCTTGCAGTGACCTCATCTGGGTGAAAAGCTTGCCAATGCTAAAGGTAAACGAGTATGAGAGTGTTATGTTTCGCTATAATATATTATGTCTGTAAAATATTATATCACAGAACAAACTGCAAAAGGCACAGACGTTGAGAAACTATGATAAATGGAGTTCGCCTTGCGTGCCTGCAAGTATATATTAAGGATCAAATCCATAAATAGTGAACCTTAAGAAACTTGCGACATGAATCGTTTGCAGGCACAGTTGTAGTAAGTATCGGAAAACGTATGACAAGAGAACAAAATAATATGATTAATAAAAGATCAAGAGAAGATTATTTATTTTTCACACGTCGCAAACAAAAAAGAGATACTAATGTAAGTCAATCTTCCAAAGATAAAAGTGACATTAGTGTGTTTGCATAACCGAAAAAATGGAATAGTGAATTACTTCCTTCTCAGGAAGTACACTACACATGCAATCTTACCTTTTCAATTATGAATCAAAATCCATCCATGGTTTCACTTGGAAAAAATGATAAAAGAAAAAGAAAGTACTCACATCAACTGTCATCTTTAAGTATTCGCCATACAAATATAATATCCACAAACTTTCGCTTTTCCCATCATCAATCCCGTATTTCAGGGGAAAAAAATACTCACCTACAGTCAGCAACACATTGTTTTCATATGTAAACAGTGTTTAGCTCTACTTTTGATTTTTCATTTTTTTTTTTTTTGTTTAAACATATATTTGTCATTTTCTATTAACAGAATGCACATTATGATTCTTTATTATTCATAACCAGAAGCACAACGGGTGGAAATAAAAATGAAGTTTACAGAACTTGTAAGCATAAATGTTTTACCAGATTAGGAGATGGAAACTCAAAATCATCTTTTTGTTGCGTCAAGAATCATAGCTCGAGTCCAATGCTCCACGTCCTCAGTCTGCGATGGAGGAGGAGGAAACGTCGGGTGTTCAACTAAATCCCAACCGTCAATTAAGTTTTCATTCTTCATATCAGAAAGCTCGTTAGGAAAAAGATAACTGGCAGCCGAGCTTGGAAGATAATTATCAGATGCATTTCTCTGTGGAAAAGGAGGAAAATAAATCAACTGTAAGAAAATTAAAATTGTTTAACCACATATGAATATTATGTATCAAGCTCATAAAGAGTGGAATTGAAAACCAAAAAATCCACTCTGCATCAACATTAGAAATAATTTTTACTCATGGGAATATTTGGGAAAACAGATGCATAAAAGCAGGGCTGTATTATTTATGTGGACATAATTTCATTGATCACCTGGAAAGTAATATATTTAACTCCTTGGAGTAGAACCAGCATGGCATTTCTCCAGACTCAGTACCAATTAAGAAAAGGATAATAGAGTTTGATCCGCTAACCCATTGTAGTCACATAGAACATGCATTACCTATAAATTAAATTTATTCGTTCCCGACTCTCATAAAACAGTAGGAGAGTGAATAGAACCTAAATGCTACAAATTTTTATTAATATATAATAAAGGTTGTCCAGATATTTCAGAAAATATCCAGCATCACATTAAACAAATATAACAATAAATATCTTGAAAGGAAAACAAAATAAAAGAAAATTCATGGATAAGGAAAATGTTGAAACGCACAGGAATTAGTCTAACTTCAAATATAGCATAAAATGGTCTCTTACTTCATCGAAGAATTAAGTTGATTACATTATGTATAAATAAACTTCTGATTTACGGTTTGATTAAAGAGATCAATTCGACGTTTTTTCTCGGAATTTTCAAACAACAATATTTTATAAGCGCTACCAGCACAATTCCTCTTCAAAGTTTCCAAAAATGACCACAAAAGGTCAAGTGGTTCCAAAGATCACATGTAAAATAAACGCTGGAGCCTCATAGTTGGGATTTTATATGCACCCTCTTCTGCATTTTAGATTCTATGTAAAGCCAATGATAAAAAGATGCAAAATCTTAATAATTCAACACAGAACTTCCTATCGACAGAGAAGAAAATAAAGTCATCAACAGAAACAGATAAGATAATCCAAAATTGTGGAGGAAAAAGGGTTGATAAAGAAAAACTGAACTACAGTATAAGGATGGGTTTTTACAAAAATAGTCCTTAGTAAAAGAATAATGAAGCCAGAAACATTACCCAGCACTTCTATAATCATATGTACTACAACCAGCAGTGTTGCAGATATGACATGTATTGTTTCTACCTATGAGTTAGTGTTGAGAATCAGAATATAATCTCAAACTATTGGTAATGAAGACTTATACCAATATAGGTTGGGCATGTGCACTCTCCATTAAAGTGCTAGATGAAATAGCTGACTCCACATTCCATACAGATGTACTCAGCTGTTGATTAGGTTTGGATGACCTACAAAATGGAATTAAATTGCAAATGAAACTTCTTCAAATAAAAAAAAAAAATGTCTTGTACAGAAGACTGAAGTCAAAATGGCTACGAAGGAAAATTATCATCTACAGCAAAAGAAGTTGCTCAAGTCATTAACTCTGTACAATTCAAGCTGTAGAATTGAGTATTTTTTGGCCACGTGTATTTCCGTTTTGCTAAATGCGATTCAAAATGTAAAAGTAGAATTGGCCATAAATATGCAAATGAATAGACTTCTCGCGTATATTTTCTAAGGATCTTGAGATAACTGATATTCGATCTTGGTTCAATTCAAATGTTCACAGTGGATGCATATCAAAATGACACTACAAAAGGCTGATGCTTATACCTGGACGCTGCCGTTCTCAAAGATAGTACAGCCCGTACTTCCTTGGAAGAGGAAAGTGTGGCCAACAGTCTTGCAAATGCCTCAAAAGTAGAGGCCTCGAGAGGAACTTCTAAAGACAACGAGTTATAGCAGTACGCAGTTATGCATGCCACACTTTTCTTGAGGAGTGATATGCCTTTCTGTAAATCCTTGTGTGTTTCAATTGAATGTGGAGACGCAGAAGAATAATTGAAACTACCGCCAGATGATTCTAATCGAGGCCTCCTCTCGGATTCCATTGAAGCAACACCAAAATTGCTTGAGCTTCTCTCGGACCATGAAGTTTCCCCACCAGTGGTGCAAAAGTTTTGCCGGGGAATAAAAAGCGGGAATTCGCTGCTATTATAGTAGAAATTAAATTTAATTGTAAGTAACACCTGTGTCAACAATCAGGTCCGCGAGTTCAGAAACAATACCTTCTGGATGAAGGTCGAGCATCCCAGTAAGACTCCCGCTGCCAGATTCGAGAACAAGAACCCTGATGCATGTCAAAACATGAGACAACTGGTTTTTGTATGAAAAAAGAATGGCAAAAATACAAGGCATGTGTAAAGGAAAATATGACATATATAGCGTCTGTTCTGTAGGACTCATCAATTACCAAGATCACATCAAATGGGCATAAGTTTTTGACAATGGTATGAGTGATGCAAACCCAAGACCGACACCAACAAATTTTAGATGAACCCTGACCTAGTGCTACTAGATTAGATCCTCTACTCTCATTAAATAACATTAAGAATTAAGAAAATTAAAAATATTTTGTCTGAAATAAAACACTGAAACTTAATAAAAGGATATGATGGGTTCTAGGCAGGGCAGCAGGTAAGAGTTAAATTTACAGAAAAAAAGTAAAAGTCCCAAACAGGGAGGAACGGAACGGGTTCAGGTTTCAAGTTTCAACACATCTCATCGTTTTGCCTATCTATTTAAAGCTACTGCAGCTTCAATCTAAATGCAATCTCATCTCCATAAATAAACTTTACATGCTTTGTCCTACTTCGCACACCTCAAAGTTCTGCAAAAATATATAACTGCCTTATGACAGCCACGCGCTTATATAATATTAGGTGAAATTTTCTATAACACAGTTGAGTGTGTAAAACAGTCTGTGAAGAAAAGATTGCTGTGATATCATCAGAGCACAGAGAAATAAACGTACCGCAAATCCTGAGTTATGAAGTGCAGGGGCACACACAGTAGGCACAACAAGATTTAAAAGTTGCACCATATATCTGTTAGTCATTCAGAGTGAAGAATAAGTATATATCATGATACATCAAGAAATACAAACAAATTGCTTTTGGGCATCACATAAAAATCAACTACTCCGCATGCTTTCAACTCTGATGAAATGCACAACAACAGCAGGAATTTATCAAGATACATATTAAACAGCACATTTTCCATATGAATTCCTCTTAGATGCCCGTACATATGTACATAACTGACCAATAACCAATATGACCTGTGCAAAACAATTATCTGAAGTCCAAGTATCAAGTAAACTATGCCACAAGTCATCAAACGCACTAAAGACCCATATTTTTAGAACGTGGTCTTGCCATGCCATATAGCTATTTAAGTCACCCAATAACCTATTTCATATTTATTGAAACAGCAATTCATGGACCAAAAATGGGAATTCGTAACACTTGTAAGCATAAGAAGTCCAACCTCTCACCAAGCAAAGAGCACATGTGATGCAAATAGCACATGTGATGAAAAAGATCACTAGAAAAAGTTGCATGACCAAGATTGTTTCTTACATTGTCCCAAAAAGAGGTCTCTCATATGATGATATGAATCAAATTACAAGAGCAGCTTAAGAGAAAAAAACAGGATATCATGATCCCTAAGAAAAATAGATGGGAACACACACATGGGGATAAGAAAGCTCACCCCAATGAGGCGGCAAGCTCATCTGATGGAACTGAATGGGGATCTAATCCTTTTGGCAAGCGTGCATTGCATATGGTATCAAATTGACCTTTCAGCTCCTGCAGTAAAGCTATAGTGAACTACTGTTGAAGGAACCAACTTTATAAAGAAAAATGCTGTAAAAATTACTACAGAAAACTATTAGAACATGTAACAACATTCAGATACGAGAACAGGGGGCGTCAGAAAAATGGTTAGGGGCATTCAAAATGTAAACGGAAGCTTTGACGAAATAATGAATTCGTAAAAATTAAAAAAGTTTCACCAACCTTGACGGCATGACGTGGATCAAGTTTGCCAAAATGCATGCAACTTAAAAGATTTTACAACACAAGATCATAAAAAGATTACAGATAATTGTCTAATTAATGGAATCACTATACGATATTATGACCAGTCAATATTGCAAATAAGAGCAGGAGCACAGTAATAACAAAGAAAAAAAAAGGGATAATAAATTACTAAGGGACAGTAAGTTTAGATAGTACCCGGCGCAGGGGAAATAACTTGCATATCTGCTTTATAATGACTGATTGTTTATGAAGGCGTTCAGAAGTAATTGCCATCTGCAAAAATCCAGATCTGGAGCATTAATCTTTGAGGAGAAAAAACAAGTTAACTGGAAACTGTGAAACCATCATTTAAAGATTTCGAATTACATCATGAAAACTGTAAATATCAAACATATGAAATAAAAATAATTAAAAAAAAATTACTCACATGACCAAGACTCTGTGTGCAGATAAGATTTGGATAATACTTCTCAATTTGTTCCACACGATTTCTTTCCAGCTGCAATCATATATCAAACCCCTTACTCTATTCATCATAAAACCAAATAACGGCTTGCAAAGAGGAAAACACTGAGAGTGTTATCTAAGACAGAAAACAACTATCCAAATTTAGAAAAATAAATCAATAATACCATGTTCATAGCTGATTCAAGCAACTCATATTTCACTTTCAGATCATGAGACATCTTCCCAATCTTAGCCTTTCCTGAAATAGATAATTTGTTTACATCAGAACAAAAGCCGAAAGTAAGGACATTTTACACTTAAAGTGAAACGAAATTTGAGCAGCAGTCAACCTTGTGACACTTGTTCTTTACGAAGTTGGAGCTTATCTCTCAAGCTTGCTAGCTTCTCATGTTGAAGCACCCGCCAACTTTGTTGATCATCAGCCTTGCCCTAAAATGATCTCAAATGTAATAAATAAGCAATTCTAAATGTTAATCAAGCATCATTGTAAAAACTAACAATCTGTTCGAAGCAAGCTACACCAGAAACACAATTATCCACGATAATATAGAACACTGTGTGCTCATATGATATGTACGGTCAATTACTTCATTCGGTAACCCACTGTAATCATATATAATATAACAGATTAAATAATCTGAGTTACTTTCCTCGAGCATTTGACGTAAACCTCTGAGAAGCTTCACAGCGGTAACCATAGTCTTCCAGGTTTAGTACCACACTAGAAAAGTATCAATGTGATTGTCCTATGTATGTCTAATCTCTAAACAGGTCAGGTTTAATCCTCCAGTACCCATTGTCAACTCTATAGATATTATGATAGCTAAACTGTGATCATCCACATAATTACATTTCCAAGAAGTTCACAAACATACAAATATCTTTGTAACAAGTTGTCACTTTCTCCAGACACAAATCTGCTCAAATCCAAGAACCACTAACAGAAAATAAGTACACATGTATTTACCAGTTCAAGAAAGCAAAAACTACCTAAGAAACTTCATGGAAACACCTGATTGTCAGGAGATTGTATTACTAGGTCCTTCAAGGCTTCCTCCCCAGCTAAACACGCACACACACACATATATTTACATAGTGATCTCTAAGATGACACACCAAAATAGGTCGAACAACATGATGCATACCTTTGCTACAAGGACTTGAGTCAACTCTATAGATATTCCAATAGCTAAAATATGATCATCCATATAATCAAATTTCCAAGAAGTTCACAAACATACAAATAACTTTGTAACAAGTTGTCACTTTCTCCAGACAAAAATCTGCTCAACACAAAGAACCACCAACCGAAAAAAAGTAGACAAGCAGTTACCGGTTCAAGAAATCAAACACTACCTAAGAAACTTCGTAGAAACACCTGATTGTCAGAAGATTGAGTTACTAGGTCATTCAAGGTTTTATCCCCCGCTGAAACACACACACACCACACATGTGTATACTGATCTCCAAGATGACAATCAAGCACCAAAATAGATCGAGCCACACAACGCATACCTTTGCTACAAGGACTTGAGTCAATCTCGAATACAGCGCGTCCCTCTTGCTCTTCAACAGCCTCAAATTACAATTGTACTCATTCAATCTGAACAACAATCGCCCAAAATCAGCACATCTTTGTTTATACAGAAGCATCACAATGCTGCCAACAGTCACTCGAGCTGAAACTAAAGGAGCAAACGGCGGTGAGCTTACCTGCAATTGACGCAGACAGGACATATGGAGGCGAGGTTTGAGCTCTCGCACACGACGCAGGTGATCGTTTTCCTGGTATTCGCCGTAATCATCTTCTGCAGCGAGGATTGCCGGACGCCGGAAAAGTTCTGAGCTGATACGACGGAGAATGTGAAGGGGAAAGTGAGGAAAATCTTGAGAGAGAGATGGGAATGGGCGAGACTTTTTACGAGTTTTTTAAATTGCTAACTGAAGAGGAATTACAAATTAAAATTAAAAGAAAAAATAAACAAATTAATACTTGATTAAATATTAGTATAAGTTTGCTTAAATAAATTTAGTAACTAAATTAACAGATTGCGTAATTAAATTAGGTGGTCGAATTTGCATACGAAAAAACGATATTAAAATTAATATTATCAATTTTTAATGTGGTGTTAGTAATAAAATTAATTTTATTTTATAAATTTAATGTGATGCCACACAAATATAGCTTGCCATAAATTAGATACTATGTCATGATTTGAATGCTATACACTAGTTTGCTTTAGCCAATCGGGAAGAACAACGCTCTTCCATACAAGAGAGGAAATCACTGTTATTAATACAATTTTCACATTGAATAGGAATTTAATTTCGTTATGCATCATGGCATATAAAATATAAATAGACTACATTTGTGATTGTTT